CTTTCTTGGTATCTTTCTGGATTCCATGTTTCCAGTCTAGGAATAAGGATATTCCAGTAATAACTCATAGTTCACTTCAGCTCACTTGTTCCCTCTACCATTTAGGTCCCTAGTTTCACTCAACAGGCTTTTAAATTAATTTGCATTTCCATAAGTTAAATTTAAAGGGGGTGTGTGTGTGTGTGTGTGTGTGTGTGTGTGTGTGTGTGTGTGTATTTAAACATACAACTCTGGAAACCCCAGCACCTGCTAAGGTTTGAACTTTCAAATCTCGTCCTAACTCTTGTCTCTGCGTTTACAGACATGCTCAAAGAGCAATTTACCAAAGTATTGTTTAGTCTAAGAATCACAATAGAAGGAATGGAAACTACCACAATCATTGGCTCCCTCTTTTGTAGTGGATAAAAACCAAACCCCAAACTAAAACCAAACACATATATATTCATTAAAGTCAAGAAGACATGGGGTTGTCTGGCTTCTGACAAAATCTGGTTTGTTACCATGGCCAAGTCATTTAATCTTTAGGTGCCTCAGTCAGATCAGATCCTCAAAACCTATGCATTACAGAGCAGTTGCTAACCCACTTTGGTGGGGGGGAGGTTCCCTCATCAGGAATTCTATGCACTGGTTAATCCAGTCCAGTCTCCCCCTCCCCCTATCATTTTTACTAAATCAGTTTTCCAAACAATGGGAAAGACTATCTTTGGGGATGTAGGTAGTGGCAAATGTGTCAATCAATGGACGAGTTTTTATTGGATAATTTTGAGTACAACATTCTTATGAATACATTCACTTTTTCCAATGAAAACGAAGTTTAATTAAAAACCATCAAAAGTGAAATTAACAAGGAGGATTTTTTTCCAATGGACAGTACATACAGTACGGAGATTACTTAACAAAGTATGTGCAAAAGAACTCAAACTTGAATTGGTCCGTGTCTAATCTTGACATTGGTATAAATCTTCTCCTGTTGCTGTCAATTGGCACGGGCTTATGACACAGATGACTTGTGTTGTTGCAGTGCTTGTACATTCAGACATAAAGTATATAAACTCAAAATTAAATAATTTATGTAGAAGTTCAATTTATCATAATAGCTTTTATATTTTTAATGACTTTCATTTTGGCAAGAGTGGCATAATAAACTGATCTCCAAAAATTCTTCAACTTAAAAAAAATGGAAATAACTGAAGAATGGTTGTGGATAATTGTCTGAAATTTTCAACAATTAAATTTAATTTTCTTAATTTTTGTCTCTAATGTTAAAATAAGAATATATTTTGCAATAGAAAATATGTAACTGCTTTGAAGAAAAAATATACTAGAGAACTGAAATTAACACAAAGAAAATAGAGATGTTTTAAGTAGAGAAAATAGATAAATAAAAAGTTAAAAACCCGATCTAGAAAATATGATCCATTGTATTTATCATTGTGATTCACAAATAATATTGTTGATGGAGAGGAAAGATTTTTGTGTTTATAGTTGTTGATAAATGTATATGCAGAATATTTTGGCAGACAGGAGAATTTTTCAAGAGAAAATTATGTGCTTTCAGTAAGAAAAATGCCTTAAAAATAGCTGCGACACCAAAAAGATTAGTTGTATCATATAAATTTTTCTTACAGAACTGTTATGTGAAAAAAGCTTTATTCAATGAAATGTTGGTACCGCTTGCAGCTACTGATATGGTTGAAATGATTCTTAGTGAATCATATATAAAACAGTTTCAAGTGGCTCCATTCGTAGTTAACATAGTAGTAATGATAATTGCCAATATGTTTGAAGACCTTTGCAATGAACACAATATGAGAATAAGATGAGAAATGGCCCATCTTTAATATGGAAGATGGCTAAGAAAAGCAAGGTGCTAGACTCAAGTATTAACTTTCCATCTCGGTTTACAAAGAGTGGGTGGTGATAAACTATAGGATAAGGTCCTATGCAAATTTTGAAAAGCAGACAGTGTTATTTGATGTAGTGGTTTACAAAATTTGATGTAGTTATGTCCTCATCTTTTAGGGGAAAATTGTTGCACACACCCATACACACTTTTAATTTTTAATTTATGAAAATTTTCTTAGCTTGTATTTCATTCGGATAAAAATAAGAAATTATTGCATCTTTATAGCAACACAAAAAACTTAAATATGCAATAAAATAATGTACCACCTGCAGATAGTTATTATAAATCCTTTAAAATATTCAGTCATAACTTATAAAAATAAAAGCCATAATAATATTATTAACATGGTAGTCGAGCTTCACCCTTCCCTGGCGCCCATGTGGCATCATGGATTATACTGCTAACCAAAATCTTTTTCAATCTCCGCTGGTATTTTGTATTTATAACAGCTATAAAAGAAGATTCCATTTCACGCAAATAAAATGTTACAAATAGCAGTAAATCTCATATCATTTTGTGTGATAAAGCAGATGACTATCTATTCACTTGTAACCAAAATAAGAGAAGACTTTCAGGTTCAAACCCTTGTTTCAATGTACTATTGTAAGACAAGTCTGTTAACCAACCATTCTTGTTTAGCTGGAGTAAGACCAAATGTATCATATTCCCATCCATGGTAAATGAATTTCTTGTATATTTAGAAATGTCTAGATCTTTAAAATAAAATAAAAATTGCTTCTGCAGACTGGTCAACTGATTAATAAACATATTTTTATTTCCTTCCATTTGATTTCTCAGATGGATATTTTTTGATTGGGAAACATATAAAAAATAGTTTTGGAAATTATATTTAGCTCTGTTTTCACAAATTCAGCTACCTCTGGATCAGAATATGAATTTGAGAACTTTGCATTTGTTTATTGAAATGTTAATTCCCCCCCATATCTACCACATGTACAAGTTTCAGGAAATTTTCTTTATAAAATGAATTTATTTCATATTCATAATTATCACTAAGAAAAGTGGTAATTTCTTTTTTTAGCTAAACCAGAGGTTCCCAAAGTTATTTGGCCTACTGCCTGCTTTTAAAAAAATTACTCAGCCCTCTCCAGAAATTTACTTTCTTTAACCCTTTAACTTTTTCAAAATTTGCATCATTTCAAAAAAGTATAAAATATTTCTTTAAAAAAAGACATCTTAAATTTAATAATTTATTACAAATTTGTGCTTTTTTCCTGCATTGGAATTTTGATGATGCAATATTGTGTCATGTAACCATATAGTATTGTATTGTAAACAAGTCATTACACAAACGTATTACTGCCGATGCATGCTAGACTTCCCAACAATGCATGACATGCTTGCCTACCAGCACTTGTTTCTTAAGACCTGTTGGTGGACTTGACCACTGATTGCTTATAACTTGCATTTTGTGTTTATTTGGAAAATAATGTAATCACTATGACTTTAACTCTGTTACACGACAGGTGAAACACATACAAACAGTTTTTCAAAATTTTCTTCTCTTCTTTCTTTATACTTCCACCACCCCCTTATTTTTATTCAATGCCCCCTCGAATTGCACCCGAGGCTAATACTGCCCCATCTCCCCATTGTTCCAGTGCCCCCCAGGGAGCAGTATCACCCACTTTGGGAACTTCTGAAACCATCCTTCAATGCCCTTTGTTGTGAGAAAGTCAGCATGTTTCACAATAGTATATAAGTTCCCTATGTTAGGCCCTCATCTTATTTGCAAAGAGATTTCTCTTTAATGGATTTAAAAAAAAATTAATTGCTCTTATAAATCAACTTGAAAAGCTGTATGAATTTCTTCAATATTTCTCAGTTCAAGTGATTGTGAAGCATATAAAACATCCAAATAGCCCATGAAATTGATCTGTCTGAAACTCTTTAGATGAGGCAGTTATTACTGATCTACCAAAAACTCTTTTGATGATAGGATGACGTATAACTCCTCATATGAGGTGGGTATTATCAGATACACACACACCTATGTACATATATATATATATATATACATACATATATCTATCTGTCTATATATATACATATATCTATCTGTCTATCTATATATCTATATCTTTAAGTCTCAACTAAAATCCCATCTTCTCCAGGAATTCTCTCCCTACCTCTCTTAATCCTAGTGTCTTCCCTCTCCTAATTGTTTCCTATTTACCCAATATATGGCTTGTTTGTACACATTTGCTTGCTGACTGGCACCAGTATTAGACTGTGAGCTCCTTGAGGGTAGGGACTGTCTTTTGCCTCTTTTTGTATCCCTAGTGCTTAGCGTAATGCACTGGGCAACATATAGTAGGTGCTTAATTAAATATTTATTGACATATATAAGATTCAGAAAATGCATCTTCGTCAGAGGGGCTGGTGAGAGCTTTGGTTTAAAGGAAGTAGGGAAAACACCCTCAAATTTTCCATTTATGGGGGAAATTGTTCAGTTGTTTCAGTTGTGTTTGACTCTTCGTGACCTTGTTTGGCATTTTCTTGGCAAAAGATATTGGAGGGGTTTGCCATTTCTTCTCCAGCTCATTTTATAGATGAGGAAACTGAGGCAAACAGGGTTATGTGACTTGCCCAGGGTCGCACAGCTAGTGTCTGAGGCCAGATGTGAACTCAGGAAGATGAGTCTTTCTGACTTCATGTGCTGCTTAGCTGCCCAGAAATTGACATATTATAGTGTGAAAAACACAGAGGACCTAGGTTTGAGCCCTACTACTTACTTTCTGTGTGACTTTGGGTAAGTTTATTGGACTGTTAAGGGTATTAATTTCATTATCTCCAAAGTAAGTGTGTTGGGCAAATAATCTGTTTCTTTGAAGTCCTAACGTCCTGTGATCCTGTTATGTGAAGACTGAATTTGAACCATTACTTCTTTGCATGCTCTTATTCTACTACCCACTTTAATATGAAGGGACTTAGTTACACTCCAAGTTACATGAGTGTTGAGAAATGAGATCCTTTAATGTCAATAAGGAGAGTATTATGCATTTATGTTATAGAAATAAAAGTGGATTTTGAGTTAGGAGACTTATAATCAAGTTTTGTCTTTGCAACTTACGGTGACTCTGGAAAGGTCCCATCACTTCTCTCAGCCTCAGTTTCTTCATCTGTAAAATGAGGATAATACTCCTTACCCTACCCACTGCACCGGAACGCAGGGAGGATTAAAGGGAGCAATGGATTTGAAAGCACTTTGCAAGCAATGAAATGCTTTCCACAAGTGAGCTGTCTTGTTGCTACATCTGGTAGGTTAGACTACGGGTTGTCAGACCATTCCACGTCCAAACCTGAGTTCAGCCTGCATCTCTGCTCCATACGGCACCCATTACCGGCACTTACGGAAACTCCAGTAATAGCAATGCAGCACACTCTGCTACCAAGGACGAGAGTTTTTTAAACAAAGGCTCTCCTAGATAAAGGAGGTCATAAATAGCAGCAGTCTCTTCTGGAGCCTCATGGTGAACTGAGTAAATAATCCTGTGGCTGCCCCTCAAGGAAATCTAGAATTCACCTGTTCTCTCCTGTTTACTCCCCTCCAGCAGCTTCTTAAAGCTTGACATTTATAATCTAAGCATCTAAAGCAATGAAGGTCACAGGCCTCTTAGGTGTGGTGGTGCATCTTAAAAGGCTAGTAATGGGGGCAGCTAGCTGGCGCAGTGAATAGAGCACTGGCCCTGGATTCAGGAAGACCTGAGTTCAAATCCAGCTTCAGACACATTAACACTTACTAGCTGTGTAAGTCACTTAACCCCATTGCCTAGCCAAAAAAAAAAAAAGGCTAGTAATGCAGGTAGCAAGCAGCTATGTGTAAGAACCAGGGTGGTCAGTTTCCCTGAATCTAGGTCTGGGGCAGAAGGGAAAGTATTCATCTACCTCAATAGGCCTCTTCTTTACCAGGGAGTATACCTAGTATTCATTGGCTTGCTAAGTGAATAATAATAATTCACATTTCTATAGCTCTTCAAAATTTGCAAAGGGCTTTTCCTACAGCAATCCTGTGAAGAAAATTGCATCAGTATTGTTATTCCTATTCTGGCGATTGGGAAATTGAAATTCATTGAGGTAAAGTGACATACAGAAGGTCCCATAGGTAGTGAATGCTAGAAACATGAACCCCTTTCTCCTGATTTGAAATATAGCACTCTTTCCTTCTCTACCAGGAAAACACAGGAAAACATATTGCAAACTGATCTCTTAATCTCTCTCTCTTCATTTTCCCTAATATACTCCTGGGTCTTGGTGACTTCTCTATACCCTCTCTATATAACCTGTCTATAACCTCTGTATTGATATTACAAATGTGAGTCTTCCAAAAGTAACCAAGTCCCACCAATGGTGCCTTTGGAGGAGGGCTGGAAAGGTTAGGGTTTGTGTTTTGAAAACACATTCTGCAAAGATAAGAAAACACAGCTTGGCTGGATAGGAATTACAGCTGCCCTTTGGATAACCCAGACTTTTGAGGTGGGCATCTGGGAGGGGGAAAGCCCTACCCAAGTCTTTCTTTTCCCTCCTCAGCTCCCAAACACCAAACCATTGGACTTGAGGAGCTTCTAGGGAGCCCAGTGGATAGGGTACCTGATCTCTAGAGTCAGGAAGATCTGAATTCAAATTTAACCTCAGATTCTAGCTGTGTGACCTTGGACAAGTCACTTAATCTCTGTCTGCCTCAGTTTCTTCATCTGTAAAATGGGGATAATAATAGCACCTACCTATCAAGGTGGTTATGAAGATCAAATGAGAAAATATTTATGAATCATTCAGTACAGTCCCTGGCATGTAGCAGGTGCTATTATATAAATGTTAGCTATTATTATCATTAGTGATGGGACAGGGACAGTGATGGGCCTATCCCCATTCTCAGCTCAAAGTAAATGAATAGGCCTGAAATCAAACTCTAACAATCCCTGGCAAGGGTTTGGCTAAGCCACCTGAACTCTTGGATTTGTAGTTCTTTCCAGTTTAGGAAGAAGGAAATTAACCAAGATAGGGGTGGGAGGGGGAGTGGGAAGTGGGGCATAGGGTTTTCACTGGTGGCAAGGAAAGGAGAAAGGCAGCAGTCTTCCTATATGGCAACAGCTCAACTATAGAAGCCAGGGACCAATACACTTGCATTTTCTTTTTCCAATACTACAAGAGGCAACCTCTATATGGACAAGTAGAGAGGTGTGTGACTTTTTTCTTTTCTTTTCTTTTTATATTAAGCTTTTGAATGCTGAGAGAAAAACTAGAGGTGACGAAAGGATAACCCCTACCCTGTCCCTGCTGTACTTCTACTTAATTATGTTTTTTACAAAATTATGTTAAAAGACTACATTTGCCATATTTAACATCAATTTTCATAAATACCCATGACTGCATCTGTCCTTACATTGCCTGGTATTCTTTGCTTATAATAATAAGTCTTCAGGAGCTGAGAGAGAAAGAGAGTGACAGAGAGACACTGGAGAGACACAGGAGAGACAGAGAGATGAGACAGAGAGACACAGACAGAAACAGAGAGAGAGACAGAGAGAGAGAGAGACAGAGAGAGAGAGACGGGCAGAGAGAGAAAAACATCCAGACAGAGAGCTTTCCTTGGGTAGGGCTGGGAATCCTCATCCAGCCCATGGTTAAGGAGTTTTGCTCTCTTATTAGGGGAATAAGCACATGCCATTTCATAATTACCCTTTCAAGTGCAGAGTTACGGTGAATAAAAACATGCTTTCTAAATCTGCCTCAGAGTCCTGAGCTGAGATTGAAAAAAAAAAAGACTGAGTTATGTTGGATTTAGAGCAAGGGTAGACACATAATAATTGACTCATTCATAGGACAGAGTTTAGAGCTGGAATGGACCTTATAGATTTTTTTAGTCCAGTCTTTTCACTTCAAAGATGAGGAAAGTCAGGGCTAGAGAGACAAATTGATTTGCCTAAGATCATACAGATATTTTAAGCTGGAGAGCCGGGCTTCAAATTCCATTCCTTTAACTCCCTAATTAGCACCTTTTCTACTACTTTAACTCTCTCTGGCTACTTGCTACTTCAGGGCAGCTCAGTCAGGAGACTTGTTACCAGATTATCTATCTCATCTATCTATCTATCTATCTATCTATCTATCTATCTATCTATCTATCTATCTATCTATCTATCTATCTATCTATCTAATCTGTCTATCCATCTATCTATCTAATCTGTCTATCCATCTATCTACTAATCTATATATCTATCTAATCTATCTATCCATCTATCTATCTACCCATCCATCTATCTATCTATCTAACCTATCTAATCTATCTCTCCAGCTATAGGAAGGAATTAGAACGAAGGATGAGGTAGAAGACAATAACTCACTATGGCTGCATCTTGCCTCTTTTCTTCATCGCCTTCCCTTTCGTAAGCATAGAAACCCAAAGAATCTTGAGGGATGAGAAGAAAAACAACCCCATGATCTTGAGATCCAGGAAGCCCGGGCCATTTGTTGAAAGTCAGCAGATGCTGAGAGGGAGAAGGTGGGCAATCAGAAACTAATGGAAATTAAAAATGATCTCCTATTTGAGAGAGGCTTGGGGTGGGGGGAGTGATGAGGGAGTGAGCAGGAAGGAGGTTAAAAAAAAATGATGGGGGCAGCTAGGTGGTGCAGTGGATAGAGCACTGGCCCTGGAATCAGTGGACCTGAGTTCAAATCCAGCCTCAGACACATAACACTCACTAGCTATGTGACTCTGGGCAAGTCGCTTAACCCCAATTGCCTCACCAAAAAACAAAAAAAAGGCTTCTTAGCTAATTGGCTAAGCTAGCAAGTTGGCCGGCTAGCTAAAGCCTTTGTTTCTTTGAGATAGTCTATATCTGCAAGGGCCTTGTTTGTTGTCTGTCCTTCTTGAAGAGGACTATGACATCAGGAGGATGATGCCATGACCCGCCAGGGAACTGGATTTAAGTGAGGGAGGGCAATGCAAAGTCATCAGCCTCGCTTTCTCCTCCGGAGCCTTTGGGGCCTCATGTTCTCGTGGAAGAAGACAACATACACAAGAGATCTGAAAGTAGGAGTGGGTGGGGGGAAGGGCACATGCTGAGGTTAAGTCTGGAGAGTTTATTGTTGAGTACAGAGTGAGGTAAGGTGTGGCTGGGGGTTCTCCTGAAATAGTGTTCTGAGCAAAGGAGTGTGGTGTTTAAAAAGATCTGAGAGACATAATTTCTGGTTATTTAATCATTTTATTAATAATGCCAGCATTTAAATGATAAATGTTGGAGAGGATATGGGAAAATTGGAACGCTAATACATTGTTGGTGGAGTTGTAAAATGATCCAACCATTTTGGAGAACAATTTGGAACTATGCCCACAGGGCTACAAAAATGTGCATACCCTTTGATCCAGCAATAGCACTTCTAGGGCTATATCCCAAAGAGATCAAACAAATGGAAAAAGGACCCATATGTACAAAAATATACATAGCAGCTCTTTTTGTGGTGGCAAAGAATTGGAAATTGAGAGGATGCCCATCCATTGGGGAATGGCTGAGCAAGTTGTGGTATATGAATGTAATGGAATACTATTGTGCTGTAAGAAATGATGAACAGGCTGACCTCAGAAAAACCTGGAAAGACTTATATGGTCTGATGCTGAGTGAAGTGAGCAGAACCAAGAGGACTTTGTACACAATTAACAGCCATGTTATGCAATGACTAAGATTGTTAAACTGAACCCTTCTCAGCATTACAAGGATAGAAGACATTTCCAGAGGCCTCGGGATGGATAATGCTGTTCACATTCAAAGAAAGAACTATGGAAGTCGAATCGCTATCACTTATTTTTACCTTCTGTTGAGTTTTGTTTTACCTTTCTGATGGTTCCTCGTATTGGTTTTAATTTTTACTTACAACTTCACTAATGTGAAAATATGTTTAATGGGTATGTAATGTAAAGCCTATATCAGATTGTGTGCCGTCTTGGGGGAGGGTGGGGGGGGGAGGAAAAGGGAGAAAAATTTTCAACTCAAAAGCATATGGAAAAAATAAAAAAAATTTAAATAAAAAAAAGAAAAAAATAATGCCAGCATTTTAATAAAAGGGTGGTCATTTGGCTGTCTCTCTTAGACCACAGACAATCATGAGTGGGCTCAGGGCTCATATGTTATTTGGGAAGAGGAGTGTTCAAGAGGCTGGCTATCAGCTCTGACTGGTTAACGATGACAGCTGCCCTTTCTTGCCGATTCTCCAGGTCTCACCAGCTAAAGGTCCGCCCTACCTCATCTTTCTGCTGAATCTGCTGTTCCAAGATTTGTTCTAGAGCACCATTTTATGGTTGTTGGAGGTGAATATGGGAGAGCTACAACGATTTACGACTTGCTTCGCCATCTTGGCTCCCAGAAGTTTGAGGGGTGGACTTCACAAAGAGAAGTGTGCTTACTCTAAAGAGGGGCTGAAAATGACATCATGTCACCCTTGGACAGAGAGACTATTTCTATATGCAGACCACCCCCAGTCTTAGGCAGTTTAGACAAAAGGCTCTGTTTCTGCCCAAGCTTGATTGAATGGAATTCATCTTAGACTACAGATTCCTTGAAAGGTTAAGTGGGGTTGGATAAAGAAGGTTAGCTCAACCTTCAGAGTCTAAGGTCTTGAAATGAGGATACAGAAAAGGGAGAAATCTAAATCTCCCCAAATCATTGGTTATTAATAATCATTTCTCTTAGGAGTCACCAATTTAGGAGAGTGGGACCTCAGAATAGAAATTCTCCAGGTGGGTTAACTTCAACCCTAAAGCCTGAGACTCTTATGGAGAGAAAAACCATACATACATACATACATACATACATACATAGCTAAAACTCACAGATTTTCCTTATGGGGAATACATAGCTTTACTAGGGTTTTACCCCAGTGTGATGTTTGGATATGTAAAAGACCTGCCTTCAAATACTGAATGAGCTTAAGTTACTGGAATTCGAACTTAAAAAAGAAATGGCAAAATCTACTAGGCTCCTCTTATTGGAGGGAGGTAATGTCTCAACTGAGGACTACACCTGAAGTTGGTCACCCCCCCCCCAGCACCAAAAACGCTGCAACCATATTCTCTTTAGAGCGTTGCCCAGCAGAAAGTACAAAAACCAGTAACATTGCCTTATGATGACCGCAAGACCAGTGGAGTACTGCCTGGCAGACTATAGACATGTTCAGAGTGTGTGTGTGTGTGTGTGTGTGTGTGTGTGTGTGTGTGTAAGGAGAAGCATGGTGGTATCACCTGAAGATCTCAATATACTCCACACTGTCAGAGGTCAGTTTCTCCTCCAATGTGTACTCTGGTTACATGTGCTCCCTAAGTGTGGGCTCTTCTATAGATATGTCCTGGTCATATATTTCTTTACGTAATATTCCCTTTTTTCCTGAGCGCTCACAAACCAGCCTTTTAATAATTTTTAAAAATTTTACAAGAAACTAATGTCAAGCTCACCAGCCTCTATACTTTGAAACATTTGCTTTCTTCCCTTTGTTGCAAATTTATAGATTATAAGAATTCACTTATTTTTTGGATAAAAGTGCTAGTTTGGAGTCAGGAAGACCCAAGTTCAAATCCCACCTCAGTCATGGGCTAGCTAGGTGACCCTGGGCAAGTCACTTAAACTGTTTCAGTCTCAGTTTCACCATCTGTAACATGAGGAAAATAACAGTATCTACCTCACAAAGTTGTTTTGAGGATCAAATGAGAGAATTTTGTAAAGCACTTTTCAAACCTTAAGGTGTTATATAAATGCTAGCTATTATTATTCTTTGTTCTGTGGGAGTGAGCCAGAGCCATGACTACATAGAGCAACAGGGCTGTGGCCTAAGGTGCCGTACTTTAGAGGGTGAAAATAGCACTTGTATTCCTACTTAACCAAAGAGGAAAAAAAAACTGAGCTAAGTACATAATTAGCAAGAATAATTAAAATAAATTCCTAGTGAATCATGCACGCTCTCCTTCCTTCTTTATCCCAGGTAAGCTTTTCTAAGGTCGAACCCAGCCCTGCTCTCTCTCTCTCTCTCTCTCAAAATAAATAATTAATTAATTTTTAGTTTTCAACATTCACTTCCATAAGATTACGAGTTTTAAATTTTCTCCTCCTCCCTTCCCTCCCCCCATGGCAGCATGCAATCTGATGTAGGCTCTACTTATACATTCATATTAAGCTTATTTTCCCATTAGTCATGATGTAAAGAACAATTAGAACTAATGGGAGGAGCCATGAGAATAAAGCAAGAAAACAAAACAACAAATGAAAAGGAGAGCAAATAGTATGCTTCCATCTGCATTCAGACTCCATAGTTCTTTATCTGGATGTGAATATCATTTTCCATCGTGAGTCTTTTGGAGTTGTCTTAGATCCTTGCATTGCTAGGAATAGCTAAGTCTATCAAAGTCAGTCGTTAAATAATGTGGCTGTTACTGTGTACAATATTCTGCTTTTGCTCAGTTCACTCAGCATCAGTTCATATCAGTCTTTCCAGGTTTTTCTCAAGTCTGCCTGCCCATCATTTCTTACAGCACAATAGTATTCCATTACATTCATATACTACAACTTGTTCAGCCTTTTCCCATTCATGGGGATCCCCTCAATTTTCAATTCTTCCTGTTCCCGCTCGTGGCTGTCTGTCCAGCAGTGGCCTCAAGACGTCTAAGAGGCTTTGGAGTCTGAAGTTTCTCTACTACGTCTCCCTACCCTCCGCTAAAACACACTTAAAAAGTGGATTTGAGGGTTCCTTTCACACTAGTGCCCAGGACATGTTTCATAATACTTACTCTTGTGTCAGAATTGCTAGTTATAGCTTGAAATCCTGTTTTTATTGACTCCCTTCTTGATTCTAATCAACTTATGTACTCAACAGCTTTATTCATAGTCAATGGATGAGAAATCTTTTTCTGCAGATAGGTACATTCTACAGTCCATTGCTGGATTCTACAGCTGTTAAAAGTAATGAGGTTTTCTGCCACTGTTCTTTTATCCAGTGGCACCTAGTGTAAAGGTATAATTAATATTGTTTTTCTCAAAATTCCTATTATTTTTTGAGAAAATCACTATTTTCTTGTAACATTAATAACCAATTTTATATATGGGACCCAAAGATTCTCTTTTTTTATTATTAATAACCAATTATTAGTAGGCTAGTTATTAGTAAGGTTTTTTTCTCTTTTTACTTCTTCATTCCAAGCCCAGTCCTTGTGAAGGATAGGGCTGACAATGACACATTCTCCCCAACCTTGGGCAGGACCCCACCCAACTGGGAGAGCTTGTTTCTGATGAAAGGATAAAGAGAATCTAATCTAGGTGAATTCTGGCCTGTGGTTCAACAATTTAAGTGGTCTGGGTAGAAATGGATTCCTTTGTCCAGATAGCTGCAGGCAGCTGAGTTTCATCAAGTCAAGTCCTCAGCAGAAGCTGAAGACTTTTTGCCCACCTCCTCATTAATATGTCCACCCTTCATTAATTATTAACCAGTCAGAGTTGATTTTCACCCT